CTGTTTTTGTTTCACTTACGTTCCATCTTCATTTTCCTCCTCCCATCATAGCCATTGATAGCAAACTCTAGAGAATTTACCAACAAATGCTAGTAAATCGGAATTGGTGCACAGATAACAACCACTCAAATCACATTAACACAACTAATCTTAATAAGATAAGATGGACATAATTTTAAATTTTTTAAAAAATATAAGTTTTGTATGTTATTTGAGAAATAATGCTCTCTATTCAAATTATTAAGCATAAATAAAAACAATAAATTCATTTTTCAAAAAATTGTAATTTAAAAATTCATAAATTACATTAATATCTTTCAAAATATATCACCATATAATATGTAATTGTTGAATAACCCATTACTTTTTTCGACAAAAATAAACTCATCAATTCTTTGGAGAATCACTAATAATGATAAGAAGACCACAAGCAACACAAGTAGACAAGTAAAATGGAGACCTATAGAGGAGTGAGGAAACATAAGAAATAATTACCATTACTTACTAACTATTTTATTTAATTTTAATTGTTAATTTTAAATATTTCATTTTTCAAATAAGCAAAGTGAGGCTACTAACAGCAAATTGATTATTTTCGTCCAATTGTTATCACGCCCTACCTTATCCTATTTAGTGTAGCAAATCTAGCAAATGGATAGTAAATGATGGAGATCAAGTAGTAAAAAGTAGATGATGAATTTTAATTGAGATAATCATTTAGTTATACAACAATTATTAGTTGTTGCAGTTAAGTTTATTTTTTTATATTTTCTATTATTAAAATTATTTAATTTTTAAAAATAATATGAAGAAAATAAATAAGTAAAATAAAATATTAAAATTCAAATCACATACTCATTTCTATTTTTAACAAAGGAAAATTTATATTATTTTCAAATAAAAAACAAGCTTTTAATTATTTTGTTTAATTAGGAATTTTTAGTTATTAAGATAATATAATTTTGTGATGAGTTAATGTGAAAAACAAAAATATAATAATCAATTAGATCATTTGTGATTAAAAATTGGGCAAATTTTTAAAAAATAAAAATAAATAAATTTGTCAATAAAATTAAAAAATTTTAATCCATTAATGGTTCAATACAAAAAACTATCTAAAATAACTTTTTTAATTCATTAACGATATGGACCATAACCGCTATTCACTAGTCCTAAACCATTGAATAAATAATTTTTTAAGCACTTAGTTTGTATTGGTTTAAAAGCAAATAAATTTAACTAACACTTATTTTATAACAGTTTGTATGAAACCACTAACTGCTACCTGAAACCGTTGTATCAAATGAGCCTTTTGCAGAGAATTCTAGTTCCACCACTAATAATTTGATTGGAATTTTATTATAATTTGATATAGGAGTTGGAATATCTCTTGCACTCAAAATAAAAGCAATAAAAGTGTGAGAAAGAGAGAAGAAAAAATTGAAAGAAAAGCAGATTATTCTGGGATATAAAATTGAGTACATATGTAACCTTAGATAGGCATTAGTAACCCATTGATTAAAAAACTTTGAAACCTAAATCAATCTAACATAATAATTTTAAAAACTATTACCAGAATTAATTCAATAACTATTAATAAGTATCTCCTAATATCTTTTAATATCAGACTAAATTTAATAAATAATCTATTAACTATGTGATTTATTTCAATTTAATCTAAAAATAATTTTTTCTTTCAAAATAATCTACAAACCATCAATTTTATTTCAAAATGATCTACTTGACAAACCTTCTGTTAGTCAGTTAACGGAATTCTTTCTAGTAGTTGACAAGCTGCCCCTTGAACTTTTGAAAAATGTTAAATATAATACATATATTTTTATTTTTTATAACATTTTGTTTTTGAAGTTCAAATTTTTTCATCAAATATAATAATTAACCAAGTTGAAATTTTAATTTACATTTATTACGATTCTAATTTTAATTTACAATAATCAATATTATAATTTAAAATTTAAAATTTCTAAAAAAAATTAATTTATTATTAAATATTAATATTTTTAATAAATAAACCATTCCAAAATTTAATTTAATTAAATGAGCACTCACATATAATTAAAATTACCTGAAAAAATAAAAATTCATTTCAATTTTATAAATCCCCAAATTAAAATCATGCATGTATTATTAGTGTTAACAATAAAATTAAAATTTTTTATTTTTCTATACAAAGTAATGAAAAAATATGTAATTTAATAATAATATTAAATTTTTTAAGAAATAATAAATTTTAAATTAAAATATTAATTGTTGTAAATTAAAATTAAAATGTAAATTAAAATTATTATCTTAATTAATTATTACATTTGACATAGAATTTAAATTTTACAAACAAAATATTACAAAAAACAAAAATATATATACTAAATTTAATATTTTTCAAAAGTTTAGGGGCAATTTATCGAGGGCTAAAAAGAATTCCGTTAGTTAACAGAATGTTTGTTAAATAGACCATTTTAAAACAAAATTGATAATTTATAAATTATTTTTAAAAAAATTATTTTTAAATTAAATTAAAATAAATCACATAATTAATAGATCATTTATTACATTTAACCCTTAATATCACGAGCACTCAAATTTTAACTTATAGATAAAAAGAATTGAGAGGTACTAATTCACAAAACAAAAATTATATTTTAAACTAAACTGTATAAAAAAGGCCCCTAATAGTAAGCTTTCCTCTCTCGTCTAAGGATTCTGATATGGATTCTTCAAACAGTTTCTAAGAATGTCAAGGATTTTCAACCACAATAGGGGCAGAGAATTGTTAATCCACAAATCAAGGCTAAATAATGAGATAGAATTGAACCGGACCTTTAGACTTAATGGTTTGATCTCAAACCTTAAGTGTTTAGATGAAATGGTC